GTGGTTTAAGGCATCATTGAAATCACTTAGTTTTGTGGTGTGTTTTTATTTCTATGCAGTAACACAAAACGGTTTAGAGTCAAATGCGATGGGAAGAAAATTGCAATTTTGATATTACAGCACCTGCCATCAGCCATCATGTCACATTTTAAAAAGGTTTGTTTCTTCTGTTTTTCTTTTCGTCGATTCATATCTAACCTAGTAATTCATTTTAACTGATAACGCATTTATTTCAACGAAAGTGTCTATATCGAGTTTAATGTATTTGTAACAATGAGGGAGTCCTCTATCACATGGGTGAGCAGATAGCACAGATGGGAAATGTTACATGAAAATGGTAGGAAATCCAGTTGGTAAATATAATGCCAAGTTTTTATTCTACAGTTTCAGTCATCCGGTCTTGGTCCTTTGCTAGCCAGGTGAGCAAGCATACTTGTCACATGGAAAGAATCAGAATTGATAGAAATCTATTGAAGCAGACGTACACATGGACACAGATGGACTGATTACAAGTCTAGACAGAGCGTGTAAATTTATTTTACCTGACATGAACTACGCACAGTAAACAAACCTTGTTTTAACCTTGTTGCTATTGACCACTGCTGTCTGCCTACATCTGAATGTCGGTGCTTGTGTTTATTGGCAATGATGACTCCCCCCCACCCCCCACCACGACCCCTCAGGACCTCTGTTGAAACAGACCACAACAGACCGACACACATACACGGGCACAGGCAAGTGTGCAAGACTAATGCATTATGCAACACATGGCTCGAAAAACAAAAGAGAAGACTGGCGATACTTTTCCATATTCATAGTAGTTGACCACACTGATCATAACAGCAAGGTGCAAGAAAATATTTCCAGGAGCGTTAAAATATTCAAAAGAGACGGATCTTGAAAAATGTACTTTCATTGGTTGTGTACAAATATTTGGATCTCTGGAGTGCCTTCCCACTCATCAAATGTGAAATCACCAAATACAGTACATTCTCTCTGAAAATGCGTCTGCATGCTAGCCATTAAAGAGGAAGTCAATTTGGAAAATTTCTTCACAGTCATATATTCTGTGCAGCACCACTAGTCAAAACACGCTATCCTACTTCATACTGCGTTGGTGTAATAAGAATTAAGCAGCAAAATCCACCCCGTTTTTATCCATCTCAAGCGGTGGCCATTTTGCCACTTGCTGTCGACAGAAAATGACATCACGGTTGCACATGGCTCAGCTTGTGAATGTCACATGACCTACACCCTGGCGACCAGCTCAGGGTGTAGTCTGCCTCTCGCCCGAAATCAGCGAGGACAGGCTCCCGCGACCCCCTCCAGGATAAGCGGTGTTGAAAATGGATGGATGGATGACTCAAGCGCAGGGTGAGTGCTTGTTCACTTGCATGGGACAGACGACCACCAAAACTGGCTTGATTTTTGCAAGGAAACAGGGTGACTAAAATGGGATATGACTCCAACGGGTCGCCCTACCGTCCGAACACATCAGCAAAAACAAAACAATAAAATGCTTTTTGTTTTATTGAGCTAGAATAAACAATTTCCATAATTTATTGAACTGGATTACTGACAACCGCCCGAAGTCAGCGAGGACAGGCTCCCGCGACCCCCTTCAGGATCAGCGGTGTTGAAAATGGATGGATGGATGACTCAAGCGCAGGGTGAGTGCTTGTTCACTTGCATCGGACAGACGACCACCAAACTGCCACAGACATCAGGGAACAGTTTTAAATTGTGACAAGAATGCATACGTCCTTGATGGTTGTATTGACGTGCTCACCCAGCAAGATGCTCAATTTGTCATCGGACAGACGACCACCAAAACTGGCTTGATGTTTGCAAGGAAACAGGGTGAATAAAATGGGATATGATTCTAACGAGTCTCCCTACCGTCTGAACACATCAGCAAAAACAAAACAATAAAATGCTTTTTGTTTTATTGAGCTAGAATAAACAATTTCCATAATTTATTGAACTGGATTACTGACAAATAACACTTTCACTTTGATATCCAATTTTAGTGAAGCAAAAGTTGATGCGTTCTGCAAGATCATGTGAACTTGCCCAAATTCTCCATTGCCGCCGATGTATCGAGACTTTCGAATATTTCTATGGGGTATTTTGACAAAAGCCTGCCACAGACATGTTAAGACATCAGGGAACAGTTTTAAATTGTGACAGGAATGCATGCGTCCTTGATGGCTGTACTGACGTGCTCACCCAGCAAGATGCTCAATTTGTCATCGTGTCCAATTTATAGTGAATTGGGGACTAAATAAGGGGAGGTCATAGCAACCTGAAGGGAAAACTGATACAATCATGGCAGACTGAATGAGTTTGAGGATGCTCGCCACGCACATGTCCAAATCTCTCATTTAAATACATCAAGATGGTGACAACGCTAACCTCGCCAACATAAAATGGGACTCAACAAATGCTGCTTACGCCCGCTTGTTTTATGCAGTTTGGAAGAGTTGCGTTGAATAATCCTACAAGAAGCAAACCTGAATAAGGCATATATCACATAACAATGCATCAATTACTTTTGTGGCATATGGAAATGGAAATGATTGCATGTGTTATTCAGTATGGTGAGGTGTTTGTATTTATTTTACATATTTTTTCAAGTTTTTACGTTTATGTTCTGTTGTCTGCTTTGCTGCAGTTGCAGTTGTTGTGAAAAGGCTACGCTAATAAAGAAGTATCTTCTCGAGTTATATAATAATGAAGATGTCTATTTACAGCTTTTATTCCTCCCGACGACTGTGGAACTCAATTTATCATACCAATGACAATATGAAATTCCAACGACAGTTCATTCAGTTATCATCCCTAACATCTTACATTTCTCAAGATGAATTGACACAGTTTACTGTGAAGGATAACGAGTCAATACAAGATTTGTATGATGCTCATAGAGACACAGTAATGCAGCGGTGCTTCCAGGAAGAAATCATTATTGCCAATATTTCGCTCCATGATCAATATATGAATTAACCAAAGAAGAGTAGAATCTTGTCAAAGAATTATTGCATCACTAAAACACTTGCACATTTCCTCGATTTTACTTTCTACATATACCGTATACTACTCATAAAAAGTTCGGGATATTTGGCTTTCACGTGAAATTTATGGAAAATGTAAAAAGCTGTTGCTATAGTGATACATCATATCTTGAAAGTAGGACATTTAAATAGAAAGACTCACTGGTGATTTCCTCATCTCAGACATTTCATTGAAACAAAAGTTAACAACAGTGGGTACACCAGAACAAAAAAAAAAATCAGAGTCGCAATAGCTCATCATGTGCCCTTGAGCATCAATTGCAGCTTGACAATGACGTCTTGTGCTGTTCACAAGTCGACTTATTGTCTCCTGAGGCATGGCATTCCACTCTTCTTGAAGGGCAGCCCTCAGGTCTTTGAGGTTCCGGTATGCAGAATTTAGAGCCTCAACACGGCGATTCAGTGGACCCCACAGGATTTCAACAGGTTTCAGATTCTGGCGAAAATGCAGACCAATCCATTTCAGGTACAGCACTCTCCAACAGCCGTTCCCTGATGATGCGACCTCGATAAGCTGGAGCATTGTCGTCCATGAAGATGAAATTAGGCCCGTGTTGTTCATGTCGGGGCACAATCACTGAATTCAGAATGTTATTCAGGTAGTATGGGCTTGTCACAAAGTGTAGGGCGGTTCTGTACCGAGTGGACATACCTGCCCACACTGTAACACTGCCACCACCAAAAGCTCATCTGGTGATAACAGTGGCTGATGCATACATAGGTGTCTCCTTGACGTCTCCAACATTGTTGGTGGCCATCATTTCTGTTCACCGCGAATCGACTTTGATCAGAGAACAGGACTGAGGCCCACAGGTCTCTCGTTCAGCGGAAATGCTCCCCGGCCCATGCAAGACAATGATGTCTGTGCTTGGTGGTATGGTCAGGCGGCATCTAGACGACACTGATGTAAATGGTTTTGAATGCTCTGACGTGACACTTGGGGGCCTCTCACCTCCCTTCAACGCGCCCGGAGTTGAGTGGCATTCATCATCCGGTTTCTCAGGCCATTGTTCACAATGTCGCGGTTATGAGCATGGGATGTGGCTCAAGGATGTCCACTTCTACCTTTTTCTGTGACTCTTCCAGTCTCTCGGTATCTCTGGTGCAACCTGCTGATGACATTCTGTAACACTTTAAGCTCAGTGGGCACTTCCGTCTGAGAACGTCCTGTTTGAAGCGTCACACTGGCAAGGTACTGTTAAGCCATTGTTAGGTGTCGTCTTGGTCTCATGATGTCAAAATGTGAACAGTATGATGAAGACGACTGTTTAAACACCAGCTCTAATTCAACCAGGACATTTATTGGTTGATTCAAGGATGAAAATGCCTGTTGTTAAGCTCCTTGTTAGAGAACAGCAACTGGTGCAAAAAGTACTGAAACATTTAACAGTTGGATATGTGCATTCAAAATCTTAGAGAAGGTCACATGAAGTTCAGCTGTAAAGGATTGAATTCATTTTCACCCAAAAGCCAAATATCCCTAACTTTTTGTGAGTTGTGTGTGCGTGTGTGTGTGTGTGTGTGTGTGTGTGTGTGTGCGTGGTGAGGCTTCAAATAGTGTCCAGTATGTGTGCTGCAACAGTACATTGGTTGTCGGAAGTATCACGTTTATCAGGAAAAATCTTCTTCCTATATCTTAAATGTTGCCCAGGACTGATAAAACTGCTGCATGAGCAATTTTAACAACTGGAGTAGAACCACTGAACTAAGTTAAAATACAAAACAAATACTGTAGCAGTCTTGTGGTAAAATGTATTTCATTATTTCATTTCAAAACACAATTATTGTTTGTAACCATTGCAGAAATGCCAAACTTTACTAAATATTTTGTGTCTAATACACACACACACACACACACACACACACACACACACACACACACACACACACACACACAGAGCAAAAACAGATACTATCGGCATTTACCTTTGAATGAATTTGTGTCTGGTGAGTCAGTTTGCTGCATAGTGCTCCCTCCAGCACTGAGACAGCCGTTGCCAATGCTGCAATGGCCGGCAGGCCAACCTTAACTGGTCAGACCCAATGCCAGTGGGGCACGGAAGGTGCATCTCCTACCGGACTCCCTGCCATTTTTCGTCATCAGCTGCCCACATGCATGGAAACATATCACGCTCACAATTCTTCTTGTACCGCAAGCTGAGATGCAGGGGTGAGATGGTTCAGTTGCCTTTGTGGCGTAGCGCTACCGCTCTGTCACCAAGTTACAAAGTAACTGTTCAAGAGGGTGGCATGCGGATGAGTGCAAAGAAGTCTTTTCTTGAGCTTGAGCCAATGATTTGAGTTTGGAGTCGGAGCCAAAGAGGGTGGATGAAGGTTAGGGATGTTTGAGAGTATGACGTGGTTGAACTGCAGTCCATCCTCCTTGCGGCAGGCTGGCATTCGTGACCAATAGCATATGAATTTTTGGCACACCTCTTAATCTGTCCGTCTGCGGACAAGCATCTCATCCATTTCCAGCAGACCCTTGTCTTCTATGCCTGCCTCCGTCTTCTTGGGCTCAGTCACAGTCTAATCAACGTGCAGCCTTGTCCTTCTCCAATTTGTACAATTTGGCTTGCTCTCGTTCACTCTCTCTGTCCTGTCATTTGTCCTGTTGGTGCAGTCTCAAACGCTCACGCTGGTCCCATTAAAGCTGGAGAGGACAATAAAAGAAGAGAGGGAAAAGCTCAGTGAAACAACAGGTGAAATGAAAACATCCCCTAGACTAACTGCAGCCACCAAAATAACCTTCATCCATAACCACCTACTCACACTCCTTTGACATACAGAGCAGACGGATGTTGTGTGCGTGTGTGTGTGTGTGTGTGTGTGTGTGTTGTGTGTTATTTGTATGTGTGTGTGTGTGTGTGTGTGTGTGTGTGTGTGTGTGTGTGTGTGTGTGTCGCCAATTGTATGGTAGGTGGGTGGCTGCCTGGCATGGCCCCCTTTAGTTCCTCTCGCCCACAAGGTTCTTACATGAAAGGAAAAAGTTTCTCTGAAAGCCAAGCGCCGCCCGTGACCCTATTTCACAGAACCGGGGAGAGATAGAGAACCATGTGGCACTTTGAAGTCGGCCTGATAAACAGGGCTCGTGGAGGAGGAGGAAAAAACAAAACTTTATTTACATTTCAAAAGTGCTGAGTACTGGGCTTTTGAATCCTGGAAAAAAAATGAATTACCACAGAAAAGAAGGAAGAAGTTTTTGGTAGGTTTGGGGGATCAGTGAAAGACTGATTTTAACAGAGGGGTAACAGCATTTCATTTGGTTGTGCTCGAGAGCATAAAAGTGAAAACAAGAGGAAAGAAACGAAAACAGGTTTGAAATAAATAACGTCATAAACAAAACGTGAAAACCCCTCCCAGTGATTATAAAGGGGATAGATTTGACGGGGGTGAACATCAGACCCAGAATATGCAGTGTGGGTTTGAAAGTGAAAAGAAGAGGTAACAAGATGGTAGAATGCGGTAAGGAGAGCCGATGTTGGTGCAAAAAGCAGACAGATGATAAACAAACACACGCCCTGTCTGTGGTTTGGGAAAGCTCTCCACATCCCCGCTCTGCTTTCCTGCGTTTACCAGGCCTTATCACAACACAGTTACACATGACAGCCTGTGTTCAGACAAATGGAAAGGCAAAGGGACACGCTGAACTCTGGTGAAGCAGTAATTGGGAAAGTTAACTTATTTGAAAACAGGAAAAGGGAAGTTATCAGTGACGTACAGTCAGGGCCTTCAAAGCCTTCTCTGCTGGCCTAAACACGTTCAAAAGCACTGACCTGCATTGACAACTTGGATGAATTATTTGAATACATTTTCAACAGTCTATTATCTTAATTTCATAGTGTGTGGCTTCGCTCCACAGCTTGCAATGATTTGTTTTGTTTTTTTATCCAATCAGATTTATTTTTTGATGTGTTGCTATGTACCTGTAATTTTCTCTAAGTCTTCAACACCTCCAGTGATGGTTCATCCCATCCACCCTCACGCACACTTTGTATTAAGACGTTTCTTTTTTTAACCAATCAGATTTTACATTCAGTACTCAGCATATTCGCGGTGGCTCGTCAGTGTGTTTCCATCCTCTGATTGGTTGATCACAGCGACCAGAGGTGGGTATGTCATCAGTACTGACAAAAGGTCCGTCAATCTGTCACGCAGTCCTGAGGTGAAGCGTTTCAAAAAATGGATGAATGGATGGATGACTCAGGTCCTGACTTGAACCGTGCCACACCTCGACCGAATCATGGAAAACATTCTTTTTGCATAATGCTTCTAACTCACAAACACATGAACAAACTAATTTACCAACAAATGTTGATCACAATAATACACCTCAACTTCGTGTGAATGAGCAGGCAGCGCTAAGACCGCGAAGCACAAATATGGTGTGGGGCCTGAAATGTATTGCCATTTTTAAGTTTAAGTTTTTGAATTGAATTGAATTGGTGCAGTTGTCCAAGAATAGTTTGTATATGTACACACTAAAAAATACTGGGTTGAATATTATGAAATGTTTAATTCATTTTGTGTTATTATTGAGCTGGGCCCAAATCACTCAATCCAATAAGGGATATTTGATCTACTCAACCATTGGGTAAGAAAATGTTTCACCCACTGTGGCTTATTTGTATCTGGAATTGACTCCACAGATGGGTTGTATAACTTGGAATAACCGAATGAACTTGAAATCGCCACACCTGGCAAGGCCAGATAGACAAGAAAAATTAATTTAACTTAAATCATTTGCATCAAATTTGATTGAAAATTCTAGTGTTGTTCATAACCCAGAATTCTACTTTATTTGGCGTTGGGAGACAGCGTGGAACCAAAACATGTCATTGAAACAACCCAGCATTGTAGTTAATTTGACCAAACATTTGGGTATATTATTAAACTCACCTGTTGGGTGAATTTAACAATTTTAGGATGGTGCTACAATTACCCAGTGGCTTGGTTAAAAATCAACCGAATTGTTTTTTTTTTTTTTTTTACAAACTATTTTTAGTGTGCACTTTTCTCTTAGCCGTCAATGCTACAAACATGTTTTGTCTGGAAGATGTTTTTGAATGTGTGCCCAGGTCATCTGAGGACATTTAAGTCTGTATGCAAAGTCTGGAACCGTTTAGCGTTAAGACGTTCCATATACAGTAGAGTGCATATGCGATTCGGGTGGATCACAAATTCTTACAGCACACATTATTTGTAACTGCTATATTTAGCGATAGAGAAAAGATACATTACATACATGAGGCACGCTGTCACTGAATGGTTCACTCAAAGGTTATTGTTCCCATGAAACTTGACTTTCACAACTCAAATCATTTGTGATTCATTAAAGAACACAAATTTTACTTTGTAGCATGTCATTGCTGCAAAGTGAAAAATACCTGGCGGAATATCTATATTTTTGGTTTCATTTTAAAAGTTTTTACATTAATGGTGTGTCTGCGTTTCAGACATCCCATACATGTAGCTATATTTTTTTTTTAAATGACAAAAAAATGGACACGTGTTTTAAACAGGACGGCGACAGCAAGCAGCAATGTTTAAATAGTTGATTGGATTCTTTTTTTGGTGGGTTCCTGGCTACTTTTGTGGACCTGTAGATCCAATAAAAATGGCAGTCGGACCCACTATTTGTAACTGCTATATTTAGCGATATAGAAAAGATACATTACATACAAGAGGCACGCTGTCACTGAATGGTTCACTCAAAGGGTTCTGTTATTGTTCCCATGAAACTTGACTTTCACAACTCAAATCATTTGTGATTCATTAAAGAACACAAATTTTACTTTGTAGCATGTCATTGCTGCAAAGTGAAAAATACCTGGCGGAATATCTATATTTTTGGTTTCATTTTAAAAGTTTTTACATGAATAGTGTGTCTGCGTTTCAGACATGCCATACATGTAAATATTTTTTTTAAATGACAAAAAATGGACACACGTGTTTTAAACAGGACGGCGACAGCAAGCAGCAATGTGAAAATAGTTGACTGGATTCTTTTTTTGGTGGTGTCACAGCTTCCTGGCTACTTTTGTAGACCTGTAGATCCAATAAAAATGGCAGTCGGACCCAACTAGACTGTTTTGATGATAAAAGGGGGGCTGTGTTGTGTGACAGGAACAGTTAGAGGCACAAGCAATACAAATATTAAGAGTATGCTCGACAAAATCGCATACAACTTGTCTTTTTTTGTGTTTTTCAAAAGTTAAAAATAAAACGATATTGGCAAAAAAAAGTAAAAATACCACATGTGCACCAACTACCCCCTCTTTTTCCAAAACATATTTTTTTTATTATTTTTTCGTCACTGCTAATAGTGTAGTCATTGACCAAAGTTCTGTTCCATTTAAAAAGGGTGTGAATGTGAACAGCTGTCTTTATATATGCCCTGTGATTGCACCTTTTCCCCATAACCGTGTACATGATGAGCTATTTAGAAAAGGAATGGAGTACGGGAGATCCACACATCACGGTGTTATCAAACTATGAATAGTGAGTGGCAAACATGCAACAGTGTTCTCGTGTTACTCTACTTGAAGGAACGTGACACATTTTTTTCGTGCCATTCATTTAGAAAAGATGTTTTTCAACGTTTACAAGGGAATACAAATGACAGTGTATTTTTTTTCTCTGAATCGTCCACTTTTAGACCCATATTTTCAAGTTTGTATTTTCCATTATATTCCACTGAAATACGACAAAGCTGCAGAATCAAGGGGCTAAAAGGGCACCGTTATTGCTTGCAATTAGTCTTGTGTAAACGGTGCCCAATGGCCTTGTCAAACTACACAACTTTTTGGCATTCACGGTGGTCAGTGAACTGTCAGTCCATCGCCGTTGGTCCGTCGGGAAGGCGTGAGAAGCAGCTGTCAAAGTCATGTCAAGGGAGGCATTATGGGTGTGTGTTAGTTCTATGTTCAGAAAAGGGAAAAAATGGAAGAGAGGACTGTATGGACTGTCTATTCTCTGAAAAGAACTTCAGGTAACAAAGTTGTTGAATCATACCCCGTTTGCTAATCAGCGACTAGCATTGTGGTTAGCAAACGTAGCATGAGTTGAAATGCTACATATACATTCCAGTATTTTACCTTTTGTTCAAAAGTCACTTTTCAAATACTCTAAACCACATTGTGATTGTGTGTGCCAGGTCGAGAAAATTCGGGCATGCCAGACTTTCGTAGTCGTGGTCATGAAGTGTCCCAGACACCTCGTGACCAATCGTTGAGTATGTCACATTACACGGGCCACGACGCGTAAAAGACAACTCAAAATTGGCGACGATCAACACCACATTAGTCTGCGACGCGTCTGTCGGCTCAAAATCAACCTTTATTCGTGTAGTCCGAAATTGTCTTAAATTCCCCAGAGGTGTGAATGATTTTCTGCCTGTAAATGTGTCAGTGTGGCATTCGCTTCAGCCCCTCCTATGTACTTTTCACAAGATGGGCAGTATAGCTGATGAATGGTTGGATAATTGGAATTATGAGAATAATATCTGGTTTCAGCCCTTAACTATTTGAATGATTTGGCATGTTTTTTCCTTGCTGGACAAAAAAGTTAGTGCCAAATTTATTTTACCCATGCGGTTTTATCAGTCAGAAGAATGGCACAGCAAAAAAACACAATGCCAAACTTGAATCAGCG